TACACTGCAGGCACATGTGCTTTCTTTCTCCCTTGCTTAGGAGGTGAAAACTAGGACATGTTCTGCGTCCAGCCAAAGATGCATCAGCAGGGGGAGAAGAGGGAAGTCGACAGCAATCCTAGGTTCTGCACACACACAGGATCTCCCTTCTGAGATGCTAACCCACAGCCTGAGCAGACAGTGGGGGGAAGTTGTCTCCCACACTCTCCTCTCCTCCCCTGCCCCTAGGCTGTCCCTTTCCCCACTTCGGTGGCTTCGTGCCCTGGCTTTCTGGCAATGTTCTCTCACTACCTTCCTGTTGCAACCTGAAACTCATTCATGCAAAGTGACTCAGTTTACTCTGTGGTTGGACGCCTCCTCCTTCTCTGTTCCCGCAGCTATTCAGTTGTTAAACCCACTTCTGAGCTGTCTCTCTTCTCCTTTCTATTACCTGGAAATGCTGTTCTCCAACTGTTCCTTCTCCTCATCCAGGAACGTGGTAGAATTCGCTTCCTCTCCTTCCCGGAGTTGATCATGGCCAGCCATGTGACTTGCTTTGGCCAATGAAATGTGGGTAGGGATGCCACAGGCTGCTTCTGGTGGCGGCATGTTACTGCAGACACTACAGTGCTTTCTTCTTCCTGTCACTGGAACCATCAACATTCTAGAAGGCGGAGGCCCTGTTGACCCGATTCCCAGAGTAGGGACTCCAGGTCTATGTGAGCAATAAATAAACATCTGTTAGACTAATCCACTGGTTGTCACTGCATCATGATCTTGCCCGTCCTGACTCACATACCTGGGCTACTGTTGGTGTTCGGGCTCTCGGCGCTTGTCACCTGAGCTCTAACATATGCCACTCGAAGTGTGGTCTGTACACAAATGTCAATCCACAAAACATCACCAGTCTGCAATGAGGCAAGTACAGAAACTGAGAATAAACATTTAGAAATTCTTATAACAATTTGACTAATTAACTTTATCTGTTGACTCTATTAAGAAAATATTTGGACTTATGTTCCCCCCAAATCTTAGCACTGTGCTTTGCCCGTGGGATACGACAAAAATGCTTGTCATGAATTCAGATCAAGGCTTCATGACTCAAGTAGATTCATGGTAGGATTTCAAGCAAACAGCAAGCAGACCCGGGGGAGATTTAGGGTGGAAGACTCTTCCTCACTCAGGGTGAGACCATCATTTCAAAGTTCCCTGAGTCCACTCTTTATGCCAGCACAAAATTCTGCTCCAACAAGCAGAGAACTTTTCCGAGCTCTTTCTCATTTAATATTAAATACTGCTTTAGGTTTCCCTACATAAGAGCATGGACATTAATGGATTTATTCTTTGTGATAAACTTGGTAAGCATATCGCTGACAAATACGGTTTTCCTGATTGCCCACAGACAGCTTGACATTTTGATACATTCGTTCAAGAGTGCAAGAGGCTAATACAATTGATCCCTAAATCACACCCTAACTCCCTCCAACACTAAGTAATGTTTTTGTTTCCAAAGTGTCCTTGACAACATTAATATGCTTCTGTGGCCCTGCAAGGAAGAGGCAGCACGGTATTCTGAAAAGCAGTGAGGTGGGTGTTAGAACTGGTTCTGGTCCTCATCACCTGCTCACTTGCTACTACGTGAAGCCGTTGCTTAACCACTTGGTATCTTAATGTCTCCATCTCTTAAATGAGGATAATAAGCTAATAATAAGAAGTAAATAACATCAGCTCTTTTGTGAGAATCAAGGTAAAGAGCACTGAAGCACTTGGCTGTGAATGAAGGGCCACAGGATCGTAACGTAGCCTTTATCTCCAGCACTGCTGGAAATGCTCTCGTTATCTCTACACACAGATTTTCTCCGCTCTACCCAGACGGTAAGTCCTTGAGAGGGGCATCGCGTAATATTTGTTTCTTATACAAAGTGCAGTACCTTGGGACATGTAATATACATACGATTGTTTGAAAACTATTTAATATGCCAAAAGTTGTTGCACCCCAACTGTACAAAGCTCATGGACCACGTGACAGGTATTCCGCACTCACACTGACATCATGGTTCTGGATTTGGGCTGAGAGTTGTCATCGACTGAGTTTCTTGGGGGCAGAGGTCGCTTCCCATTAATCTTTGTATCCCTGGCACTTACCGGTCATCTAAGCACATAGAGAGAGTCCAACCGATGTCTAAAGATAAATGAAGTGCATTTTAATTAAATACTTCCTAATATTACTTCCACTCAGTACCCTGAAACCTGGTTAAATCGGTTTGGGGGAAGTTTGCCAAAATCATCTAAACACTTGAAGCACACCCACGCAATAAGTCACGTGATTTTCCCAACCTCTTTCCTTACTGAGAGGCGGTTCTTCTTCAAAGATCATTAAGAGATGGGGCTGCAGGAGGGGGTGGGAGGGAACAGACAGCAGTGGGTCTGGGAGGAGGGGAAGTTGTGCTCTTCGTTGTGCAGAGGCTCCGACATCATTCTGCACATGTAAACAGTCAAGGGGAAAACACGGCAGATGGAGAAAGAGCTTCTGTACAGAACATAAACTTGGGCAGGAGCCTCTGTGTGGTGGCAGCACACGGCCTCCTGCTGGGGCTGCAATGGAAAAAGTGACCTCAGAGAGGGGTGCAGAGCAGACCGTTCAGAAAGACAAGATGAAACACCAGGCCGTTTCGGGGAAGTCCTTTGGTCCCAGGCATATTGCAGTCTAAAGCTGTTTCAGTGTAAAAAAAGACAGATTACACGGATTTGTTGGCGTTTACTATTCTTTTCTAATCATACCTACAATTCCCAAGAGCCACTGCCCTCCTGTTTCTCACAAGAGAGCTCTAGTGTCTAGGAACACATTCTTCTGGAGGCCCGGGACAGGAAGCTTCATTAATCTGGACTCATCAGACCCAGAGCACCCAACGTTCCAGAGCTCTGGACAAACAGGGTGCGCAGAGCAGGAACTCCAAAACCAAAGGCAAAGACAGATCACCGCTCGCCCCCTCCCCCTCTCCTGGGCCCCTCCAGAGAGGGCTCCCCTTTCATGAGGAAGCTGACATGAACTGCATTTCATCACGAATATGCAGCCAGTTTGGCGAGTGCTTCGGAACGGGGACCTCTTGCTATGTGATCTGATCCTGAAATTTCTTTAATTAGGCTTTTGCAAGGAAAGTAAATGAAATTCATCCTTTCATATGCATATGAACAAAATCATAGTCTAGAGAAAAAAACCCACACCACCCACCCCTGCCCCAACAAGGTCTATTTTTAGAGACAGATCTGCACTTGGAAAGAACATGAATCAAGTCACATACTTAATGACAGTGAGAGAGTAATTTTAGAGGCATGCCAGAAAGGAAAAGGGGGTGTGAGCACATAAAACTTATTTATATTTTTATTTGTGCTATTTCCCGCAGATCGAAAATAAACGTTCAAGAGCACCCTTTCTCAAGCCCATGCGCGCTCCTGGAGTCTGAAACCGCGCTTGTTTAGCACTGCCCCCTAGCGTCCACATGGAGTTTAGTTTGCCTTGAGGTAAAAAGCCACCATGTAATCCAACAAGTCTACAAGCAGTGTTCATCCAGTCACCAAACATTTATTAGGAGCTTAGTATATATGCCAGCTACTGTGGAAGGTGATGGGATACACAGATGTATAAAAGAAGACATGAATGTAAATACAATTACAAAACTACTTGATCACACACAAAAAATCGCTTTACCTAGTTTTCCACGAAAATGAGACAGACACAGCTGGGTTGCCTCTCTTTCCAAACGGTTCTGGACCAGTATTCACATTAGCAAGTATCTGGCTGGCTCTGACAGAACACCTCTGGTCAAGTACACAGGGAATATTCGGGAACAGTCAACATTCCAGGACATACAGTTTTAACACAGTCTGAAGGACACTTTGGGTCTTGTAGTCATCTGGGGGACCACTGGTCATGACAGGACACATAAATCTAACATTAAGCTTTACATTTCATTCTGAAAAGGTACCCTTTTTCTAGCTCTGTGATGAAAACCCTCAAAAGGAATTAAGTGGGAGAGACCCTCCGAAAATCGTAGACGGTTTTAGCGTCCCCAGCCCTGGAAAGTCACAGCTGGAGTTACAGAGCCACACTGTCCTGAACTGACGTGCCAGGCTCCAGAGGAGCAGAGGGAGACTGAGAGCCGCTGAAACCTTCCACCAAAAATAAACGTGAGATTCAATGTCAACAAAGAAAAAGAGGAACTACTACAGACCAGGAATGATGCTTCCATACCAATTGGTAATATTCCTACTTTTTGTCCTTTTCCATTTTTGTGATTTTCATTTTCCTCGGGTAGTCATGACTTGGTTCTAACAGAACATGGCAAAGGAGAGGCTGTCGAAGAGCGTGTTCCAGAAGACTGAGGTCCATCTCGCTGAGTCTCCTTGCTGGCTTTGAGGAACCAACCAGCTGTGCTGGCCAAGCCCACGTGGCAGAGCCCACTGGGAACTGCGGCCCTCAGCCCATCAGCCAGCAGGGAACTGGGAGCTGCTGCTAACGGGTGAGGAAGAGACCCTCCCGTCAAGCCTCAGATGAGATGCAGCCCTGGCCCACTCCTTGACTGCAGCCTTACAAAGGACCCAACTTCGAGATCTTAAATGGGTGTGGTTTTAGGTTACAAAGTCTGTTATATTATTGTGGAATGACAGATAACTAACACAGATTTCAAGATAGTTTTTAGAAATACTTTTACTATAAAAGTAATACAAAAAAAAAAGGAAAACTGAAATATTGAAGAAAGACCAAGACATCCTTTTACTGTCCTGTCATCCTATAAAACCACTTAGTATTTTATTTTGTCATCTGTTTATTATATGCTGGGTGTTTTATTTTCAGCCATGATCACACCCATTCACTCACTTTTATATCTTGCCCTTTTTACTTAATATTTTCTCATGTTCATTATATTATTTACTAATTTTTAATGAGTACATAATGACCATTCATTGGAGATACATGCATATATATATATACACACACACACACACACACACATACACATATATATACACACATATACATATATATATACACACATATATATGGTTAGCAAACTATAGGCCTGCACTTGTACATAGTTTTATTAGAACACAGCCATCCATGCCAATTTACCTATTGCCTGTCGTTATTTCTGTGCTACAAACTGCAGAATTGAGAAGCTGTGACAGAGACTATATGGTCTGCAAATACAAACTATTTACTTTCTGGTCCTTTACAGAAAAAGTTTATTAACCCCTGCCATAAACTTTTAAGTGGTTTACAATTTGGGCAATTACAAGTAATGCTACTTAGAACATTTTTGTGCATGTAATTTTTTATACCTTAGGCAACTTAATTGGAATATATTATAACGAAAGTGGAGTAACTGGGTCTACTTCACAAAGCTGTCTTTAAGGCTGACACGGCCCCCACTGTCTCTCTTGCAATCGTCCATGACGAGGGCTGCGCTGACAGGAAGGGAAGGCAGGCCCGATGCTCCTGTGGGCAGCACTCCGCTGGTCCTCATTCACTAGACACGTGCGCTTACACTCTGGATGAGCACACTTACAGTCCTGACGGAAAGTAAACCAAAGAAGAAAGGAACAGCAACTGCAACATTAAAAACAAGGGAGAGACCTTTTCACTTTCTGTCGGGATGAAGCGCAGACTGAAGCCAGCGCTGCAGGTGTCGGGGCGAGAGGCATTCCGAGCGCTGCAGGGCCCGAGGCGCGGAGGCTGCGGGAGCAGAGGGCGGTGTCGACGAGAACAGCAGCAGCGGTGAGCGGCGGGGCGGCCTCGAGGGCACGGCAGCAGACACACGTGTCCCCCTTAACACAGAGCTGTACACAAGTAGGCACGGACTGTATACAACTGTAATTAAACTGTCTCCAGACAAGAACGTTTTAGAGCGAATACCCTATATTGAACAACAACAAAATCCTCCTATCTGGGAAAGTTCTGTACTTTGGAAGAAAACGTACGGAACGGGAGCAGCTAAGCCAGCCCTGACCCTGACCCTGACCCCGACCTGACCCTGACCGTCCTGGAGACACAGACGCCGCAGGCTGACGCGTCTGGATCCACCTCGCGTGCCGAGCGCCGGGAAGCACAGGCTTCATCTCCTAAGGGAAATATTCTGCAACGTGAAACACAAAGAGCAGGTGGGCCTTTCCCCAAGACTGGAATTGAAAAGCTAAACTAGAAAAGCATTTAATGTAATTATTCTAGTTATGCCAACAAAGTATGTTAAGACATCATCGGTGACACATTTATTATACTAAAATATTTCTGTCAAAATGTCAACCAATTTAACTATTCTAAAGAAGTGTTCTTTTGGTTAAAACTATCATTAGCCTTTACTTTCCACCTCGGCTACTCATCAAGTAATAAAATGCACCCCAACTTCATGAAGTACTCTGAGAAACCATGAGCTTCTCCATAGAATGAGATCATTTTTATGAAAACTAAGAACATGTCACCATGAACAAAATGTAGCAGTTTTCTGAGGCATGAAATAAAGCCATTATTTTTTCATGCATTTCCACGCTGCAGAAGAAGAGGCAGTTCTGGGAAAGGCTTGATTCACAATTACAATCACATCATAATTTCTGTGTTCAGTTTACTGTCAGTCGCTGCAAGACTGACCTGAGGGTCTGGCAGCATAAACCCGTCGGTGAGTTTGTAGTAGACGATCGTGGAATCGGACTCCACTATGGCCAGAGTGAAAGACATCGGCAGGTCCGGGTCCCCTTGCAGTTTCCGAGACGCCTTCAAGATCTCTCTAATCCTGAAAAGGAAGTCAGAATGCACCTACGAGTCAGTCACTCATTAATAAGATCAAATACTGTAAAATCTTGGGCAAGAGGCAGGCCATAAGGTCGTATGGATAATGCGGATTCTGAAGGCCCAAATACAAACATCTCAAGCTGTCTTCTCACACAGAACTACTGCAGAGAAGGGCAGCCACTGACTCCCAAGCCTTCTCTTCTGCAGTCACCACCTCCCCATCATCAGACCCCGAGTCACACTGTACTTAGAACCCTACCAAGGGGGCACCGATGGTGAGTGTCCAGTGCATCTGAACTGGCTGGGGACCATGAGTGTCCATTTTCCAAGTCCGTATCTTACAGTGAAACAATTTGGTATTGAGGTGTGTTTTTTTTAAAAGACTATAATAAGTATTTCCCTCATTGTGTTCATAATCACTACTTTTAAATGGTTATGTAATATTTTATTGATTCATGACTTGCCCAATCATTCCTTTATTGCTATAAAGTTCTTTCAGGTTTGAGGGGTGGAGGTGCTGATAAAAATAAGCTACCAAGATCATCCTTCTGAAGGCAGTTAGTTGTTGCTTTTTAAACATTTGTTGGGTCTTTCCAAGTATCAGAATTATTAGATCTGAACATGGATATTTTTATGGTTCTCAATATGTATTCTGATACTTCATAAAAGCTAACAGAAAAATATAGAGAGAAATAAAACTTTTGGGGGTAAAATTATGTATCAAGCAATCAATGCTCTAAATGATTTGTTTGCTTGCTGTGGAAAATAACCTATCAAATCTAACCTCCAGGTCTTCAAAGCACCATTACCTTTTATTTACCACCAACGGAAAATCCTTACTGTCTACTCAAAAAAGCCTGTGTTCAACAATTCAGTAAATGTAACCTCCGGAGGAGCTTTCTTTAAAAGGCAAATAAAAAATGATCAGTTGTTTTTCATTAAGCTAACCAAGTCTCCAGAAACTGGAAAAAGATTTACTAGCATATTAACATGTTAAACTGACTACACAAATAACTCAACACTATCTTCTCTTCAGCAAAAGTGTAACTTGTCCCCTTAAATTCTACTTCCCATCCCCAGGTACACATTCTTATGGTCACTCTTCACCGATCCTATTAGCTATGGAATACAAAAAAATCCTTTTTAAAAAATCTCTGCTTTGAAATATTCTTACTACAATAATTACAATGCTTCTGTTTTTGTTTTTTAATCTTTAGTAGAGACTGGAGATTTTAAAGTGATGTAAAACGGCAATAAACTTCTGGAAAAGCTGAGGTTCTAACTGGTTTGTTAGAACACCAGCCACACAGGCTGCTTACCTGCTACCCATCATTTACGTTTACAAAGGCACAAAGTGAGATGAGAGAATGAGTTTCTAAGTTCGTTTCCTCGTATTCAAACCTTTTCTAAAATGACCTTGAAAGAGTTAAGTCAGCGCTATAGTAATACTTTAGCTGTTAAGCATAACTGTCGGGCAACACTCATTGGATAAATAAAATATGTCTACCTGGCAAAACCTTAACTCCTTTTCAAGAGTCAGCAAAGCATCATCTTCTCATAAGCCTTTCCTGGCCTTTCCTAACCTCCAGGAAAGCAAGTGCCTCACTGAGGGGGCCTGTGCCGCCCACCGCCCTGCAGCCGCTGCCTTGTATTTATTTACACAGCTTTTTTTTTTTTTGCTAATGCCCAATAGACAGCAGAATACTTGGGCAGCATGAATGAGGCTTTTTGAATGAAGGATTCCATATGGCTGTATATACACTTTAAAATATATTCCTCACAAACATTTTTCTAAAATTTCTTATGCAACTCCGTTATGCTAAATAAAAATTCAGCTAGTCTTAGCTCAGGGTCACTGTTTTTGCTACTTATTATTGTAGATACAGTGGTGGATGGTACAGAACTTGGGATGAACCATGTCCCTAGAACTTAATTTCTAAAAAGTATCTGATATTTGTTTGCCTTCTGTTTATCAAAACTTTCATTTTTAATCACTTGTCTCTGCAACAGCGTTTGGCAAACTATGGCCACCTATTTCTTCATGACCCACGAACTAAGAATGGTTTTTACATCTTTAAGCAGTATGAATGGTCATATAAGTACCTACATAATAGCCTCAATTGGGCCATTTCTTGAATAAACCTAAAATGTTCACCATCTAGCCCTTTAGGAAGTTTTGCTGACCCCTACTTGACACTATGAAAACGGTTAAGAATAAAATGTAAGATATGATCTCAGGGCAGTGTATCTTTTCTCAACATTATTTATTCCAAAGTCAGAGCAGGAACACGTTCCACTTCTAATTGGGATGTAGATCTCAAAAGACCACCATTCCCACTATAACAAGGATAAGATACCAAATTTGCTTAAAAATAGCACCTTTTTCCTTACAAAGGATGTGAACACAAAGAAGCTTAAAGAAACTAAATTCCAAGGAGAAATGGGCCCTTCCCAGGTAAGTAGAGACCTAGAGACAGCCACTCTGTGCCTGAGGGCAATTACTCAGTCTGGAACAGTGGCTGGAGGAGAGAGCCTGCCATGGGCAAGCAATCCCGGGACAAGGAGACCTGTGCTAGCGGCACATGGACTGGCGTGGCCGACTGGACCCTGGAAGGACACAGCCCTCCAGGTCACCAACTCTCCCATGGGACTTCTGCTACGTTTAAGCAACAGCAGGCAAAGCTAGGGAAGGGGCTGGAAAACAGTGAGCAAGCTCTCGTCACATTCTTGCTGGAGACAGAGCCCTGATCCCACTCTCAAGACATCTGACACTAAAGAGAATGGAGACACTAAAGCTGAACTCGCTGTGACCCCTCTTGACACTTGACAATGACTGTGTCAGGTCCTTATCCCACCTGCCAGATACAGGAAAGGTAAGCTGGGGGGGGGAGGGGGGGGCACTGACACCAGTCTCTCACCTCTGCAGTGTGTGGTATGCAGTGAGGAACTCTAAGCTGTGTGAAGAAGCAGGTGCATGTATCTACAAATCAAGAGCAAAAGTCCACCTAAGAAGACCTTCAGAAAACTAAGGCTGCTAAAAAATACAAATGTTGGAATTAATAGCTAAAGGCTCTAAAACAGCTGTTGTAAATATGTTCTAGTGCTGAGGAAAAAAACACAAAATGGGTGAAAGATAAAGAATTTAAGCAGAAAAAATGGAAATTCTAAAGAAAATGGACACTCTAAAATTTTAAAATATATATTTTTAAAGTACTGACTAGGCTTAATAATAAACTAGATGAAAAAGGACTAGCAAACTTGCAAACACATCATAACAAACTGTGTTATGAGGTACAGAGAAAAAAAAGAATTTAAGAATATAAAACATGAGAGACCTCTTGATATAATAGCAAATAAGTTATTATATGTGTAATCAGAATTGCAGAAGGAAAGAGAACGATGCACGTCTTAGTCCATCTGGACTGTCATAAGGAAATAGCTTCATGAACCACAGAAATTTCTCTCTCCTGGTGCTGGAGGCCACAGACTCCTCCATCAAGTTTGCAGCATGACCCTTTCCAGTGGAGGCTGCTTTCCTGCTTCATGGCCACCACCTTCTTGCTGTGTCCTCAGGAGATGAAAGAGGCGGGGACCTCGGTGGGGGTCTTTTGTAAGGTGCTAGTCTCACTGATGAGGGCTCCACCCTCACGGCTCCACCTCCTAATACCATCATCTTCAGGGATCAGAATTTCAGCGTATAAAACTTGGGGGGACACGTGCAGGTTATACCATTGTAGAGCGATAGCTGAGACTATTCCAAAACCAGTATCTCTGAGTGCGAGGTGTGTCTCTTACAGAGACCATATAGTGGGATCTTGTTTTTATATCCAATCTTATATTTTCTGCCCTTTGATTGAAGTGTCTCATCCATTTACATTAAAAATTAATCTTGATAGTGTTGGACTTATGTCTGCCATTTTACTTTATATTTCTATATATCACACATCCTTTTTGTTCCTCCTTTACCATCTCCTTTTGGATTAAACAGATATTTTCTAGTGCACCATTTTAATTTCTTTGGTCTTTTTTTTTTTTTTTTTGGTTTGTTTTTGTTTCCTTTATTGATTTTTAGAATGGAGAGGGAGAGAGAGAGAAACATCGATGAGAGAGAACATTGATTGGCCGCCTCTTGCATGCCCTCCACTGGGGATCAGGCCCACAACCTAGGCATGTGCCCTGACTGGGAATCGAACCAGTGACCTCTTGGTGCATGGGTCGATGCCCAACCACTGAGCCATACCAGCTGGGCTTTTTTTTTTTTTTTTTACTAGTTTCTCAAATAATAGCTCTAGAGATTACTATATGCATCTTAACTTATCACAATTTACCTCAGATCAACACTACTTCAATGCTAACAAAATATAGAAACTTACCCAATATAGCTTTGCTCCTTTCTCCTTCCTTTGTGCTGTTAGTCATATAGATTATGTCTATATGTAATAAATGCAATACAGTGTTATAATGATTGCTTTATATACTCATATCTTTTTCAAAAGTTAAGAAGAGAAAGGGTTACTCTGGCCGGTTTGGCTCAGTGGTAGAGCATCAGCCTGTGGTCCAGAGAGACCCAGGTTCGGTCCCGCTAAGGGCATGTACCTCGGTTGCAGTTTGTCCCCGGCTCTCGTTGGGTCGTGCGGGTGGCAACCACTTGATGTGTCCCTTTCATGTCGATGTTTCTCGCTCTCTCTCTCCCTCCCTCCCTCCCACTCTATCTGAACAAAATATGAAAAAATGTCCTCGGGTGAGGATAAAAAAAAAAAAAAAGAAGAGAAAGAGTTAAATAAATTAGTCTTTTATATTAACCTACATATTTAATATTTCTGGTACACTTCATTTTTTTTTCTTTATTGATTTCAGAGAGAGAGGAAGGGAGAGGGAGAGAGAGAAACATCTATGAGAGAGAACATCGATTGGCTACCTCCTGCATGCCCCCCACTAGGGACTGGGCCTACAACCTGGGCATGTGCCCTGACCAGGAATTGAACTGGTGACCTCTTGGTG